GGGGGGGGGGGGGGGGGGGGGGGAGAAGAGTGTGGCAGGGCCAGAAGCAGGAGTTGCTGGGCGAAGGACAGGCACTTTCAGGGTTCGCGTGAATGGAAGGGGACGAGGGGCCCCAGAGTTTGAGTTTGAGCATAATTTGGGAGTTGCCATGTCACAGAATTGGTCGATGAGTCATGAGATTTGGAGATCATAGAACCCTTCCCTGGCGATCAGTTAGGAGTGATGGAAGTAAAAAGCGCTGGGGTTCGGTAGAAGTGGTTTGGAGGCCATGTCTGGGGACAGTGTGTGAGGGACTTCGGGAGCTGGGTCCCACAGTGGTATGATTCAGAGGCTTCCGTCCCTGATGGGGTTCAGGGAGGTCTCCGTGGTGGTTCTGTTCCCTGCTCCCTTTCCTCTCCATGCTGTGGGGATTCAGTTGTGCTCCCGTGGGAAGGGGGTTAAAATTCCTCCAGCCTCCAGCAGTTTTCCAGCACCCACCAGGGGCAGGAGGGACATAGACATGCGTGGAGCCCTCCATTCCTCACTGTTGCCATAGTAACTGCCTATTGATGGAGTATTTATAGGGGAAAGAAGCAGGCGCCTAATTTTGGGGAGGGGGAGAGGCCTCATGGCAGGCTGCGGCAGCAGTGATGGTGGCTACTGAATCACTAATGGAGTGGGCGATGCCATGCGCGCTGTTTTGGGGAGACGTTGGCTTCTTTGGAGCTGACAAACGAATCAGTGACTTTCGCAGGTGCCAGGATCACACACATTTGGGGCTATGTGAAACATGGGAGTGCGCGAGCCCCCAAGTCTGCATATTTGGGACAAAAGATGGCCATATGGAAGCTATTATGTAATTGTTTTCCATGTAAAAATATTAAAACCCTGCAGTTCTCTTTGGTAGGCAACGAAGCATTTTCTTTTGTCCCTTATTAGTAAAGCCTTCACTCATTTTTCTCACACCATGACGTGACACAGACTCCATTTTTCTTCAGCCAAAGCACATTGCTGCTGGGCCCTCCGCCTCCACACTCTCACCACCCACCTCATCTGAGATTCACAAGGAAAGGAGAATGCATCAAGGGCTATTCCTCTCACAGTGGAAGCCCATCTTTGGCAGATTCACATTCCCATGTTGAGATTTTTGGTAGGACTGTTGTAGGCTTCAAAAGAGGAATCCCTGGCATGGGAGACCAGATGGATAGGACATTTGCTGTTTAGCCTTTCGTTTTCAGTGGTCTGTCGTGTCCTACCTGTTTGCCAAAAGGATTAGAGGCCATATTACAAATGCACAGTGAGGCTCTGGAAACATAAATAGAAAACTGTGCACCTAGTCGTAGGAGAGAAGCATGTCTGCCCAACAGCTGGGCTTTCAGGGCTCCTGTGCTTGAATGTCCCTGTCAATACTGAACTCTCTGGCAGCCTGGATAAGAAGGGCTGCCTAATGGGTTCTGCAGCTCATGTGTGTCCTGTATCCTGGTAGTCATAAAACACAAGCAGATGGAGTGGTGCGCTGCGCCCAGGCTTGCATCCTGAGCAGAGAGGGTTTTAGTGGAAGAAAGGCTTTGGGACAGTAGCTAGTTAGCACCTCAGGGTGTGTGTGTGTGTGTGTGTGTGTGTGTGTTTGTGTGTGTGTGCACTCGTGCGCGCGTGTGTGACTGGGGAGCTAACCCAGGGCCTCATACATGCTAGGCAGGAATTCTAGTGTGTGCTGCATCCCCAGCCCTGATCACTTAACATACGCATCCGGGAACTCTGCTACAGTGGTCTTTAGTGCAGAGAGGAACAGCTCCTGCTTCTAGAAAAGCCCACAGGGTGGAAATGAACCCATCAGGTCACACGGACTTGTTTATACCTAATGGCTCTGGCTGTGGTACCTAGAGGCTCAGACCCTGAAGAACAGGTGTCCTCTGAAGGTCATTATACGGCCAGTCCCAGATGGCCCAGACATTTGAGTGGTTGCTGTTGTTGCTGCATTACATTTGGTTTTCAAGGACTAGCCTTGCCATTGGAGGGATCTGGAGTTGCCATTGGGACCCATTCACATTGTGCCTCTGTCGCAGCTCATTTGCTTGACCTTGTCTCCTCCCACCTCCACTCTGAATCTCTGACCTTCCTTTTCTCATCTGTCTCTGAGATCTTTTCTGATTCACAGGCGCAGGGATCTGTAGAGGGGAGTGAGGAAGGAGCCTCTGCCTGTAGGAGTTTTCCTTTCTTAAAGAAAAGGTCAACCCTTGGGTTTTCTGGACGCCTGGGTGTTCCCTTAGGGGTAGTAGTGGGAAGCTTGCGGGGCAGTGGGGGACTCTGTGGAGAAGCTTACTGGGAGCCTGAGAGCAGCAGCAGCTCTGAGCGGCTGCAGAGAGGTGCTTCATCTCTGGGGTTGCTGCTTGGGCCTTTTGAGCACGTCCTGGGGCTGCAGCCCAGGATGAAGATGGCGCCATGTAGATTTCTGGTTGTGTTTCAACCACAACTCTGCTTTTCTCCCCGTCCAGGCAAGTGAGACTCTGAAGCTGCGGGAGCATCATGGCAGGTGAGTCTTGCCAGGCAGAGCAGAGTGGGGGAAGGCTTGTGGCAAAGGTGCCCATCCGTCTTTGGAGTCCTTCCTAGGTTTCCTCCCAGGCCCGTGCCTCTGGTCTCTCAGGCCACCTCAGCTGGGCTTTATACCAGACTGTCCCAAGCCAGACCACTGATGCTAGTTGATGTAATGCACAGAGGGCCAGTTCAGGTGGCAGGCTGCTGCCCTCATGGGAGCCGATGACCTTATCTGGTGTTAGTCCCACAGCATCAACCTCAGAGAGGGGCTCTGATAGTCCCCTTTCAAGTGCAGAGGAAACTCGGTATTTATTCACTGATGACTATTGTACTCAATATTCTGACCCTCGTTCCTGTGCAATGTGGTCTTCTCTTAGCCAGCTCCCATTTTCCCTGTATTAGCCAGGGCCCGATCGCTGTGGGGCCCCCGGTGTTCCGTGGTGCCATGGAAAGTCACCTTCTGTCCCTTTTCCACCCCGTCCCTTGGGTTGAAGCCTGGTGTCATGCCGGCTTGTTATACCCAGTTTCCCTGTGTGGCTGGGCTTTGGTCCCTGACTTGGGAGGCTTTGGGCACTCGGGCCTGCCTGGGGGCTCTCTCCTCAGTGTTTCTGGAGGCCAAGAACGCCCATTCCGTTCTGAAACGCTTCCCGCGGGCCAATGAGTTCCTGGAGGAACTACGCCAGGGCACCATCGAGCGTGAGTGCATGGAGGAGATCTGCAGCTACGAGGAGGTCAAGGAGGTGTTTGAGAACAAGGAGAAAACGGCACGTACCCCCCAAGGCTGGGTCTGGAGGGGAGAAGTGGCATTGGGCCCGCCAAGAGCTGGCCGGGTACCCCGTACATGGTGGAAACAAGGAAAGAAAGATACCTAGCCTAGGACCTGCCCTCTGGGACCAGAAGTGAACAAGGTCCAAGTGCCTGCCTTTGGGAGCCTCCTCACTTTGTCCTCGGTGCTTTCCACAGCCTCTCTGAGAGCTCTGCGAGACCGGTGGGGTGGCGGGTGGGACGGTGCAAGCCTCCTGGGTCCCTCTGAAGCAGGAGGTAGTGTCTGCCCTGCAGTGGGCAGCGTCCCATCGCGGCCACTCTCTCTTCTGCACACTTGAGTGGCCCTTCCTCTTTTGCAGATGGAATTCTGGAAGGGGTACCCGAATGCAGTCTACTCTGTCCGAGACCCTTCACAGAGCTCTGATGCCATGTACGTGGTTGTGCCCCTTCTGGGGGTAGCACTGCTGATTGTCATCGCCTTGTTCATTGTCTGGAGGTGCCAGCTGCAGAAAGCAACACGTCACCACCCCTCCTATGCTCAGAACCGGTACCTAGCCAGTCGCGCTGGGCACAGCCTGCCCCGGGTCATGGTGTACCGGGGCACTGTGCACAGCCAGGGGGAGTCCTCTGGACACCGGGAGGCGGGGAGCACCCCGCAGGTGGTGCTGGGGCCCAGCCGGGGGAGCAGAGCCACCGTGCGACTGGAGAGCACCCTGTACCTCCCGGAGCTTTCTCTTAGCAGACTGTCTAGTGCCACCCCCCCACCCTCCTATGAGGAGGTGACTGCTCCCCAGGAAGGGAGCAGTGAGGAGGCCAGTGTCTCATACAGTGACCCGCCCCCGAAGTATGAGGAGATAGTGGCCTCCAGCCCAGGCGCAGACAAGTAGGGAGGCCCGTGTCATGTCCTGGCCTGGAGGGAAGCCTCTTTCAGAGGCTTCCAGTTTTCTTTGGAACTTTGGAAAGACTTTGCCACCACAAAACAGCCTTAGCCTCCTTGTTGCCAAATAATTCCCTAACCGTGGATTTTTAGGAAGCCAGCTGTCAGAGACAGGTAGGGTGGGCGGGGGTATGAAAAGTACATGAGGCAAAGCCCCCCGGGGAAGAGCTATGGACTCCAGATCCCAGCTCTCCTAGAAGCCCCCCACACCCCCTTGTCCTGTCCTCCCATCCGGGACTGGCTTCTCATATGCCAAAGGAATCACCCTGATGTGTTGATTGTGGCCAGAATGTTCCCAGGCTCAGCCATCTGAGCCTTGGGGTGGGGGCCTGACTGTGCCTGGGGCTCTAGGCCACAGAGAAGAGGGAGAGAAGCCAGCTCTGCAGCACCCCTTCTCCTCTGCAATCCTCTGCATTCTGTCCTCCTCTTTCGAGGAAGGGGACAAGGATTGAGCAACAAACAAACCGAGTAATAACAAAGAACAAATGGTGAACATCACAGAACCAAACAGTAGCACTTGGCTGTTTGTGGGTAGGAAACCGGGGGAAACCAGTTGCACAGATCTCTGACAGGCTCCTCCCTCTGCACCCACCCTCCCTCCTGACCAGGCCTTCAGCAACCTGGCTGGACAGGGTGCGTGAAGGGTGTGGGGCAGGGGGCTGGGTGGCAGAGTTCCTTCCTTCATAGTCACCAAGGGGCCCACGTGAACTTTGCCATCCTGTTACTGGTGTGCCCCCCCCGGCCTGTGTACCTGCTGTGCTAGAACCATTACCCACTGGCATGAGCCCACTTGATGCCCCGGCACGCCTTGTCCTGGGGAAAGCAGAAACTCCTGACCCTGCGGGAGCCCATGGCCCTTGAACAGTCGGGGCGCAGGCTAGGACAGGCAGTGAAACTTTTCTGTGTGTACCACACTCTTGAGCCTGGCCTCCTTGGCACTGAGCTCTCTGGCTTTGAACTTTTAGGGTACTTCCCTTGTTGTGCATGGGTGCGTGGAACTTGAGCTTCAGATTAATGATGGTGCCCACACTGGAAGAAGAGCCTAAAGTGTCTCTTTTTTAAAAATCTTTTTGTGGGGGAGCCATGACCGGGGTTGAAAGTCTATCCAGGCTTTGCTCTGCCATGGCTGGGTGCTGGTCTGATTTTAGGAAGGCTGGGGACAGCAGTTGGGCAGGGATGACCTGCCCTGTGACTTATCAATTGGGTAAAAAGACATAGTTGATACCATCTCCCCCTCCCTCATCTCTATCCTCCTGGCCTGGCCTCGCCTTGGTGCCAAATCATTTTCCTCTGTGGTGCTTTAAAAAATGTAGCAACCTTCTGTGGGACCTGGAAGAGTGCATAGCATGGGTCTGTTGGCAGGCATAGCAGTTTAGCACCCACTGAGGCGACAAGCATCCTGTCTAAATGGCTCTCCAAGGCAGTCCTTAGTCTCATTCCTGGAATGGGGCCCTGCCTGAGGCCACAGCTAACTTCTGGAGGCCCCTGGAGACCTGGAGATTGCCCCCAGGCTGTGTTTGTGGTCTGGAGGCTTGTGTCCTACCCCACTTGGATAACTGGATTCTCCCAGGAGGGTTTCTGTCCTTCCCCCTACCTCACAGGCCCACCGAAGGCTGACTGGGTTATTGCTTGTGAAGTGCTTGGAGCCCCGTGGAGCCAGTGAGGTTTGCCCTTGGAAAGATGCTTCTAGAAATGTGCAGGTTCCTAGAGGGCCATTTTGAGCAAGGGCCTCATCTGGGGGCTGTGGAGTCTCCACCTGACCCTGTCTGTGTCCTCCAGCCTTTCTTGAGTTCTGTGATGCCAGAGATGCTGACCAGGTGGCATTCCTCCTTTCCTTTTGTCCTTTTGCCCCGTCCTGGGCCTCTGGCACTGCATTCCTACCCTTCCTTGGGAAGGGATTTTTGGTCCAGAAGGCCTCTGCTTTTGCCATGATGGAGCCTGGGCCCAACCCCATTCGGCCATGTGGGAGGACCTCAGAAAGCCAGAAGCTTGGGGCCAGATCCAGCTCTCCCAGTTTTCTCAAGCAGGTGCCTAAGTGTGACCTGCACCACCTGAGAAAAGGCTTGTCCTTCCCCCTGACCACAGCCAGAGGGAGTGAGCCAGGGACGGCCAACACCTTAGGCATCTGCCCAGGGTGGCCTGAGGCTGGGTGGCTCTAGGAGAGCCCAGAAAGAGGAGTCTGGGGACTGAGGACTGGCTGCAGGGAGAGCTGGCGGCTGCTCCTTGAGTCCTGCAGCCTAGGCTCTGGATCTTCGAGGAGCTCTTCCTGGCAGTGCTGGACAGAGGCCCTAGGGGTAGAGTTTGGAGCTCGCCATGGGGAAAGGACTATACAGTATGCACAGCGCAGAACTCCTCGTGGTGCACACTTGGCTTTTATGAATGCCCTGTACATAGCTTTTGAAACTGTCTTTGTATGAACGTTGATTTGATATGATGCTAACACTTTAGGAGCCATGTTTTCGTTGTTTCTGGACTTGTGTGTGTGCTTGTGTGTATGTGTATACACGTGTGCACGTTGTCTTTTCTCATTGCTTATCTGAAACAATAGCCGGTGTGCGGTTATATTTTATACCAGGAGGGATCCAGTCTGAAGGGAGGAAGGTCCCCTCCCGGGGCTGAGCAGCCTCATGATGAGGCCCTGAGTGAGGAAAGCCCAGATTAGCTTTCAGGACCCCAAAAGTCGCTGCCTTTTGTCCCCTCTCAAAAGGTTTGGGAAGATGAGGCAGCATCACCCCGGGGGACCCCACCTGCCCCTTTGGCATGATGCCCCTCCTCCTCGCTCCTGTTCTGTGGCAGTCAGTAGCTGAGGGAACTCTGACCACTCCTGCACTTTCTCTGTCTGTCTGTCTGTCTGTCTCTCTCTCTCCCTCCCTCCTTCCTTTCTTCCCTTCTCCTTTTTTCCCTTCCTCCTCTTTTCTTTCTCCTTCCTTCCTTCCTTTCCTTCACAGAAAGATGTGAGACTATTGACTTTGGGAATAGTCGGCTAATTATGTAGATATTTTTTCATTCAAAAAGAAGAAAAGGCTTGAAAAAAATTCATTGAAATAGAACTGTCACTTGTTTTCAACCAAAAACTTTCTAAGACTTTTTAAAAACCAGAATCCCAATTCTGTCCCTTTCCCACTGCCCACCACCTCGGGTTTCCCAAATGAAAGCACAAGAGTAAGAGCGGGGTGCCAGGTGCCTGGTGTGTGCACCCCAACACGGCTGCCTCGCGCCCTGGCCGAGGAGTCGCACCCAGGAGGCCAAGGCCTCCACTTCTGTTTGCCAATCCACTGCCATTAGTGTGAATTCCTTAGGGTGCTTAGAAAATGAGACTCTGCCTAATGTGCTGGACATTGTCTTTCGGATACGCAAATATGAGGACTTGGGGACAGGAAAGTGTCTTTTTTAAGTAGTTGGAGCCAGGTGCTTCCCCTCTTCCAGTGGGCAAGCCTCCTGGTCCCCAGGCAGAGTTGGTCTTTGACACGCAGGTGGCATCCCAGGAGAAGAAAAACAGCAACACTGCCTCTAGATTCCTTTGTCAGTGAGAGCAAGGTGAAGGAGAGAGGCTGAGCTGCTGGGCTGCGTGCACCTTGCTAAGGCATGAAACTCCATTTCGGAACTTCGCCAATTCAGAAAAAAGCACATCCTCCCCACTGACGTCTGCTAATACTAATCAGTATAATTAGCTAATTTAAAAAGTGCTGTAATCAGACTGCTTGGAATGACAGTAAAAGCCCATTAATCTGAAACCCACTAATTTAAAACTTGGAAAAAAAAATCACCATTTCAAATACTTCATAGTAGTTTCGATCTGTAGGTCATAAAAATATTGGAAAGATTCTCCACTTGGATCCATTTTCAGGGTCTTCTGTGTAAGAGGAATCCATTTTAAGACAAGTCCCCTTTTCAAAGGAAAAGCTCAAGGTATTAAGGATCCCTTTGCTGTGCCTTCCGCCTTGGGGTTCAGCAGTTCTCATCTGTAAGGCCCCTGGGCAAGGCAACCCCTTGTTCTCCTTTCACCTTGGGGACATTGGATAGCGTAGCCTTTTCCTCCACTCCTGTATTTATCCTATGAATAATATTGCTTGTGAACTTGAATGCAATTTAAACACAAGCACGTGTCTTTCTAAATATTCTGTGAAGCAAATGTTGCACCAGCAGACTGGCTGCTCTCTCGTCATTCGCCCTCAAATATTCAAGCTTTAGGAGTTTTTCCTTTCACAGGCTGTGGGCGGGGAGTCTCTTTCTAGCAAGAATTTCTCTGGCAGAGATATGGAAACAGCGCACCCCCTCCGGCTCAAGGCCACAGCAGTTGTTCCTCTGTGCTGGTTTCCGAGCAGGCTGAACATCCACACAGATACCCAGGGTCGGGACCACTGACCCGCCAGCGTCCTCCGATGCTGCTTGCCCAGGCCTGAACACACCTGCTAGCTCGCTCTGTGATTGTGCATTGTGCCAGTGGAAACCCTTCTATGTGCAACTGAGCTTCTAGAAATGATCACCATGAAATGGATTCATTTTGGCACCACTTTCTCCTGTGCTCGTCTTCATGTGTTAACCCTTGTCAGCTGGGGAGTCTGTCCTCTGAGTAATACGTCAGGGTTTCACTGGAGCCCAGGGCCAGCCAACGAGCCTGCTTCTATCTCTCCCATCTCTCCCTCCCTGTTTACAATTGTTGAGTTTAGCTGTTAACTTTTGTCTCTTTCTGTACCAGAAGATAATGAATAATAATAAAAGAGCAAATGGCATCCATCGCCTTCTGTCCTGGTCTCTCTTGTATCCCCTGAAACCTGGTTTTGTGAAAAATGAAAACAGCCCAAGCCAGTTTAGGAGCAGGAAGTGGAGCTGTCCTGGGCCTTGACATTTGTTGTTTGTCCCCCTGGAGTGTAAGAAGATCTCCTGAGCTGAGGTAAGTGAGATCTTTCAAGATCTGGCTTAGCAACTTCCGTGTCCTGGGCCCCCTATTTACTAGTGGAGGTGCCCCTCACCCTAAAGGATGCCCTGCTTGGCTTCAGAGCTGGAGGAAGGGGAGAGAGAGAAGTGTGGGTGGGACACAATGCTCAGGCTTTGTCCTGCTGGGCTCCCTGAGTTCTGCCAACGTCAAGAGTTGGAAACTATTCAGAAGGCAGTGATGGCCTTGCCTACAGCAAGAAGTGTGAGCTTGGCCCAGAGATGTCCAGCTCTACTTGTGCAGTGACATGGGCCATGGGAGTCTCTGGTCCAAGGTGTGCCAGCCCTCAGTAATGAAAGTTATTGGTGACTCTTCTTCCTCCTCCTCCTCCTCCCCCTTCTCCTTACAGTTCTGGGGATTGAACCCAGAGACTCACAGATGCTAAGAAGCAGTGGGTGAGTAATGAAAGCAAGGCTTCCTTTAGTGGGGAAAGCCTTGACAGTGATAGGACAATGCTGATATTTGGGATATCGTAGAGAATTACATGCGGAAGCTAAATGCCACAGACCTTGTGCTTCATTCTCATCCTAGCTAGGCTGGCTCGGTTGAGTGATGCCATCCTTCTGTGCATGCTAGACCACAAGTGAAGACTACAGGACATAGACGGGGTATTGTTTAGAACTTGGGTTTTGACCTTCAGGCTTTTACCTAAGTGTTTCACACAGTGCCTTGGGATCCCGGCTAGTCCACGCAATGAAGTTAATATATGATGAGGCCTCTGGCTTCCAAGTCTCCCTGGGGGCACTATGGAGAGAATGGGTTTCCCTTTCTTATTGGGCTAAGGCTCCTGAATTGCTTGTAGAAGGTGACAAATCAGGGACAGGAATTTAATGAAATAAGGGTGGGGGAGAGAGGCGTGTCCCCGGGCCCTCCCCAGTCCTGGCTAGAGCAGAGACAGGGAATTGGGAGAGAAGCAGACCCTGTGCTTCAGGGTTATAAGTTGGGGAGGAGGGATCCTGTTTTACCCCTCCCCTGACACCTCATCCGAAGGCTGGGCAATGCAAGGGAAGATGCGTGAGTTGCACTTACTGGGTGCTTAGTGTGTGCCAGTCCCCATGGATGCATGGCTGATATTGCTCTCCTGAAGGACCTTCGACGTGTGTGTTATGATCGGCTCTCTTTTATCGTCCAAAGAAACAGGTTCAAAGCCAAGTGCCATTTCATGAGTGCAGGTCCGCCCCAGTTGCCTCACCACAGTTTACTCGTGGCACTGGGGTCTCATGGGCAGAAAGGTCGCCTTCCTTTTGTTTCTGTACCAACTGTCCACCCCTCCAGCACCCCTGAGTCTCCTCACCTAGTGGCTGTTAATTCAGGAAGAGCAGGAACAGTGTCTAGCTTCTCTTGTCAGTCCTTCCCTGGAACACGGTATGGTGCCTGGCTCATGGAAGAGTGCTATTTATAAATGTGTTGTACTCTCCGATGAGAGCCCGAGCTCCCTGTTAGTTGGTCAAGGCTGCTGTAACAAAATGCCATAGTCTGGTGTTTTAAGCAGGAGCTTAACTTCCTCGGTTCTGGAGGCTGGGAGTCCGAGATCGTTGTGCCTGCAGGTTTGGTTCCTTCTCAGGCCCCTCTCCCTGGCTTGCAGGTGATCGTCTCCTCCCTGTGTCTTCACAGTCTTCCCTCTGTGCCAATCTGTCCCTGTCTCTTCTTTTTTGTAAAGACACCAGTCACACTGGATTGGGGCCACTCTAAAGATGTTTATCTTCAGAGGCAGTCGCATGGTGAGGTACTTGACTTCAACAGACACATTTGGGGGGTGCACAGTTCAGTCCAGAAAAGTCCACACTCAGCAGCAGGGGGTCTTTGCTGTCCCTCCTGACCTGGGGAAAGTGACAAGGGTAGATGTCATGTCTTCTTTGAGTTGCTCCTCCCAGGCTGAGCACACCATTCACCCCATGGGTGGGAGGGCGGACACCATGGCCCGGGGTCAGCTTGTCCCTTGCTGCCTCCGGAAGGTGTGGGACAACTGTCAATGGGCCTCACAGGGTCAGCGGGGCCGGGAGTGAGAAGCGAGCTTCAGAATTGTTCTCCGGGATCCCTCTGTGGAAAGAGATGTGGGAACCCAACACCTGAAGGGTGTACTGCATGCGTGGGCCTCTCAGATCATTTTTATGGCTAAAACACGCTGTTCTCAGGAATCCTAAGACTGGCAGCTGCAGTAACGGTGACTTTCAGCAATCTCTCCGAAGAGCTCAAACTGTGTGATTCACCTGGTGTCACGAGTATTTGTGTGCTGTACGAATAGTCTGGGTAACATTTCACGTCAGGCCGGTTGCACTGAGTCACAAGAGCCCGGCAGGTGGCCGTCGGTGCGGGTTTCCCAGGGCTCTGCTGCTCACAGGGTGCACAGGAGCAAGTGGTGGTGGAACTGTAGAAGTGGGAGTGCAGGAAACAAGCTGCACCAGGGGCGGATGATGAACTTGACGTTATGGGAAGACCAGTAGGGGTGACTGTGGAGTCTTCTAGAGAAAACCTTCCTGAGGGAGTGTCACGGAGGCACAGAGAGTCCAAGTGAGTCATCTAAGGCCACACAGCTCATAAATGAGGATCTATGAGTCAAAGCCAATAACTGGGGATGGGGATGGGGGTGGGCATCAGGGCTGAAGTGGTGATACACCCCCTCTTCCCCAGTGCAAGGTGTGTTGGCAGGGTGTTGAGGCACAGCCTCATCACTGGTCTGGTCTCCCTGGGACTTGCTGTTGACCTAGCCAGGGACCTGGATAATTAACCTCGGTTTGCCACTGGATTAGTAAACTGAGTCACATCTGGCCCTCCCTGCCTACTCTCACAGGCCGCAGCACCCCAGCCCCTCCTCTCCTTCAGTGACTTTCTCCAGCTCAGGGGCAGTTGCTGCTCCTGTCTCAAAGCTGGGCGGTGTCTGAGGCTGCATCCCTGCTGCCCACTGGCCTCTAGGCTCACACACACATCACCTGCTGTTCACTAGGTGTGGACACAATGCTTTCCCATCTGTGGAGTCGCCTTGCGCAGAGGCTGAGGGGTCACAAGAGGTCAGGAAAGAAGCTCCAAGCCTCTTGGACACAGTGGCATGCCATTCAGGCCTCCCTGAGGGACACTGGATGCTGGGCCACCTTTCTACCTCCCTCCTCCTTCCCTCTTATCAGATCTCCTTCCCGTCTTCACAGATTCTGCCCCCCCGTTTCCTATCACCTCCTTTTTCATTTTGCTCTTTACTTATATTTGAGTTTCTCATACAAGAGAAACCATGTGGTATGTAAGCTTGTGTGTCTGATTTAGTTCACTCAGCATGATGCTCTCAAAAGTGTGGCCCTTTTCCTACGAATGACTCAAGTTTATCCTTCTTGATGGCAGAGTAGTACTCCATTGTGTGGAGACACCACATTTTCTCTCTCTGCTCCTCTGTTGATGGACATCCAGGCTGCTTCCATAATTTTGGCCTTGAACTTTTAGGTGCTGCTCTCTGCTGTGCAGGCAGGGCAGAGTTACCCCTCGGTCAGCCAGCTATCAAAAATTGTCCTTTCCCAGCAGGTTCCCCTGCAAGGAGCCCATGGGTGCTCTCCTGAAGGCATCTCTGGCCCTGAGGGCCTAGGACTGGGCATCTCAGCCACTGGGTGGAGCTGTTGCTGTGAAGCTGAGGCTGCGGTTCAGCCCCCTCTCCTGGAGCTGCTGCTCCCCATCATGTCCAGGGTTTCTGCCCAAGGCAGGGAAGGCATCTCTGCCATCCTAGCCTCCGTGGGAGGTAGCAAGATGTCCCTGGAGGCTGCAGGGGTGAGGACAATGCTTGGGCCACATGTCCCTTTTAGGTTTGGAACGCTCCAGTGAGCATCTAGCATACTCCCCAAGAGGCAGGCGCAACCACCACACAAACCTCATCACTGTCCCCACAGTCCCGTGGGCTTTCTTCCTGTCTTCCTGATTCTGTCTGCCAACTGTGGTAGGCGTTCCAGGAGGACAGAGGCTTGGACAATGTCCCCAGCGCCTAGCACCTGGTCAGTTCTGATTCAAGTCAGTCCTACTGAATGAGAGAGAGAAAGTTAGAGATTGAGATGGCCCAGTCCCCATGAAAATAGGAGTAGTCCTAATGGCTGCCCGGGTGGCCCTACCACTCTTATTTCCCTCCCTGTGCTCACAAGGTGGCCTTCCTTCCCTGGGTTAGTCACAGTTCCTGCAGTTTGACCCCACGTCTCTCCGTCTGTACTCCATGCCCAGGGCTGCAGGATCGACCTCCAGACCAACTGCATCAAAATCCCTGGCGTTTTGACTTTTCTTCAAAACAACCTCTTGCTTGGAACTCCTCTAGCAGAAAGTAGCAAGAGCAGACTGCTCTGCAGGAAGAGAGCTGAGGGTTGTTCTTGAAGCCCAGTAGCCCCCACAGCACCTCCCTTACACCATGTGCCCTGACCCCAGCATCTCACTGCTGCAGGCAAGAGAAGAGGGAGTGGGGAGCAGATATTGCCCTGATTCTGGGCCGGGGAGGCGTTGTTGAAGGCTGGTGATGGGCAGGCTGAGGTCAGGCAGAGAGAGCCAGACACAGGCCTGAGTTGGGCTGGACACCTGGGGGCTGGGTGCCCTGTAGGTTTCAGCTGAAACTGGCATGCAGTTAGCCAGCTTTGTTTAGCCCCGGTGGAGGCTGAGTGCTGAAGACCACCTTAGGGAAGAAGCCAATCTGTTTCTTTCAGATTTGCTTGGTTGGAAGGGAGGAAGAGATCTTTCTCACTCCTATCCCTTTGTGTTAATAAAACAGCTCTTATTTTTAATAAAGATCCTGGTCCTCCAGCTGACAGTTCACAGGGAAGAAATACAGAAGATCAATAACCAAATGAAAAATCAGGCATATTCATATAATTCTTCATAATTAAAGTAATGTAAATTAAAGCAACAATGAGATAGATATCACTTTTCACCTGTCATAATGATGCCTTTTACCAAGCTCCATGATACCTTCTGTTAATAGTGCTGAGAAGAAGCGAGCACTTTCTTCCTCAACAATGTTGGTCAGTGCAACTCAGAGTCATTGACACACGTGTCCTGGAAGCTCACAATTCCACTTCTAAGCACCTTCTCTACCAACACTTCTGCATGTGTGTACCAAGAGGTGCTGTGCTGCTTATAGAAGTGCAGAGCTCCAGCACTCCACACGTCCCTGAGCAGCTCCGTAAAGGGTGGGCTGGGTTCAAAGGAAATCTGCTCTATCTGTACTGCTCTGGGGGAGTCGCAAGGCATGCGATGCACTTAAAAACTAAGAGAACATGTTGCTTGTACCTCACATATAGGATTGCATTTGTGTACAATCTCTGGACACACAAACGTACAGGCATGCTGTGAGCCAGAAGTGCTCTGGCCCCCCACCCCCTTCCCAGGGACATCAAGGCCACCTCCTCTGGGAGCCTGCCATGGGAGTATTGGGTCTCAGCAGCCACCATGCACCCTTGGCCATTTGGCCACTCACTTGGACCCAGGCACCATGTAAGACTTGGCAGATCTCTCTATACCTTGGGTTCTCTAACCCTTCAGGCCTCCCAAGATTACCATATCAAATGGGTGAGCCTTTTGAAGCTGTTTCTATTGTGATCTTAGGGCAATTTGAGAAGGAAATTATAATGAAGATGTCATCGTGGAAATGTCCAGACCTTAGAGATCTACTAAGGGACAAATTCAAAGTCAAACAAAAAATTCTGTCATTTCCCAGCCAACCTTGGCACCCAACACTAGAGAGGTGGCCTGCTAAGGAAGTGACATGCCAGGTTTTCTGGGTGGCCAGAAGGAGCCCAGGGGTTGGGTAGAATGTCTTACTCTCTTTGCTTGTCCCTAGGTGGCAGTTTCCTCTGCCAACAGGGGGCAGTGCCTCTTCATTTACCCAGGCTCTGGGTTCCTAGTCCTAGGAAGACTGTGGTCCTAGGAAGTTGGTCTGGGATCAGTAGCTCAAGCCCCTGTGGCCAGCCAGCACCAGTACTACTCTGCTCTACTGACTTCTGAGCTCCTCCCAGTCTACCCACTGGGTTGGAGGGAGACTTAGCTCTATTGTCCATCAGGGAAACTGAGGTCCAAAGAAAAAGGACTTGTTCAAGGTCAAATCTGAGGTCCTGGAGAGGATGGGCAGAACATAGGTCGCAAGATAAAATATAGGCTATCTGGCTACATTTGGATGCTAGCTAATCCAGAGGTAATTTTCAGTATTTCTCAAATGTTGCATGAAGCATAAAATAGATATTAAAAATGATTTGTTTACCTGAAGTTCAAATTTACCTTGGCTTTTATTTTTATTTGCTCAATTTGGCAACTATGGCTGGACAGAAACAGAAGGCTCCAGTTCCCTGGGCTCCTGAGCCCTACTGTGTTCACTTAGTAGCTTCTCTGCTCCTGGGAGGGCCCTCCAAGAAAGCTCAGGTTTCACTGCAGCTGCCCCTGCAGATCTGGAAAGGAAGAGCTTCTTTCAGCCCTCAGGAATGCAGGCAGGGCTGCGTGAGCTCTGTGCTGGGCTGGAGGGCTGGGGGTCAGGCAGGCCCCAGGAGGCCACCTTCTCTCAGCTAGTCCCTCTCCTCCCTTTCTTCTCCTCCCCCCTCCCTCCCTTCCTTCTTTCCCTGCCCCTCTTTTTCTTCCTCCTCCTTCCTCTTCCTCCTCCTTCTTCTCCCACCTGGTCCCCCTCTGTACTTTTTTCCTTTTGCAGATGGCCTCCTTTTCCCTCAGAGGCCCTAGGACTCTTCCCCAGAGCCACCAACTGCCACTAATGTTTAAAGTAAAAAAAATGAAGTACAGTAGGAGACACAGCACCATGAGTCCCCCCTCAAAATATTCGCCCTTAGCCTGGCTTCAAACACACTTATCCCATGGTTCTTGCCACTTTCTGGAGCAGTTCTGGCAGTCCTTTTTCCTGAGTGTCTTTAGTTGCCCTGTCCTATCTGCCTCCATGTCCTGAATTTACCTTTCCTGGTCATTTTGACTTGGGGAAGTGCCAGATTGTATGGTGCCAGATCTGGTGAATAAGGTGGATGAGGATGCTATGATGTTTTTCTGTCTTTCCTTTTGGTTGGATGGCTCTTGACAGCAGCATTCAGCACAGTTTTGATCTCACTTAGGAAAAAGGACTTCCGGAGCTGCTTCAGAAATGGCTTTTCCTGCAATGCACGTGTTACGTATTTAGACACTCACCCTGTATTTCATATGTATCTGGATGTGCATAAGCATGTAGAAAGACATGACTAGGAGGCTGAAGGTGGAGTGCAGACTGGTAGGCCGGAAACTTGGGGGGGCATTGCCAGTGCAGTCCCAAGGTAGAAATTCCCCTTCTTCAGGGAAACTTCGGTCAGGCTTTTAAGGCCTTTCTGGGTGGAGGCCCACCATGTTATTGAGGGGTAGGTGTTTTACTCAGAGTCCACTGGTTGTACACACTAACCGCAGCTACAAAACACTGTCATGGCTGTTTCTAGGCTAGTGTTAGAGGGGTTTACTGGGCACCGGAGCCTGGCCGGGCTGCCACAGGAACCTGACTGAGGGAAGCTGAATGGGAGCTGAGACTTAGGGCAGGGAGCGCAGGGCCCAAGTCCATGGGGCTCCAGTGGCTGTAGCGGGTCCCTCCTGTCTTGCCCTTCCCTACCCTCATGGTTTCTCTGCCAACCTGACGCAGATGAGAACAAGGCCATCTCCTTTGCTGGGGATACTTGGCACTGGGAGAGGCAGGATATGCTTTACAAAGAAACCCTATGATGGGGCAGTGGTAGGCCGGATTAGGGGCTGGAGATGAGCTTTGCAGACATCATGGTGGGCCCAGACCTGACCCTGTGTTGGTCACTGACTCTCAGTTGCTGGACCAGTCCGCCCTCTGCCCAGATGAAACAAAGGAGGGATTGTGAGCCATGGTGGTTCTCACGGGCAAAGGCTTGGCCTTGTATCTCTTTTTCCCTAGAGCAGCAGGGGAGAAGGCAGCTGTCCCAGCCAAGTAGATACAGCAGGAACAGGAGGTGCTGAGTCCAAGGCTGGAGCCCAGAGAGAGTCTGGCTCCACCTCCATGACTGGGCATATGTTGCACTCCTACCCTGGAAGACATTGCGCGAGTCCCTCCTCTGCCTGGCACCTCGTGCATTCTCAGCTGTCCCATCCAACTGAGCAACCAGCAGCGATGGCAGCGGGCCCTTCCAACATTGGGGAGGAGGTAGAAATGTGCATCGAGGAGGAACTGGCACTTGGGAGCCATAGGCAAGGCCAAGGCCATCCGATGATAGCAGGTGAGGATCCCCATAATGTCCCTTGGCTACAGCCAACCAACTGGCCCTCTGTCTACACTTGTGCATGTGTTGGAGAAGGTGCAGACCCTCAATTGTGTGAGTGTGTGCATCTGCATGCATTGTCCTCCTGGTCACTCTTCTGGGCCTTTGAGCATTTGTGTGTTGAGTGGCAGAGGAGCTGGGAGGAAAAGGGACAGAGGATGTGAGCCTTTTGTAGCCTAAGTGGGAGGCAGGTTGGTGTGGTTCCTCTCTCTCCCCACTCATCACAGCTAGCACTGTGTCTATTGCAAGACATTCAGAAGGCTTGGTTTATAAGATCAATCCATCCTCTGTCCCAACCCTCTCGGGCTTTCTCCATCTACATCCATGATCTACAAGATCCTATCAGGGCCACCTCGTCAATATATTTCATGCTGTGATGTACACAGAAATCCCGGCTGCTGTTATGTTTGTTCTCACAACAGCCCTGCTTCTCCCTGTAGCCTTTGTACTTGCTGTTCCCCTGGGTCTCTGTGAGTGAACCTGTGTCTCCTTCATGTCTCCTCATCAGTGTTGGCTCCTCCTTTTCCAGAGGCAGTCTTTTTCTTTCCACCACATCACCCTGATTTTGTCATTCGGGAAGCACTTCTTGTGAGTTTGCACTGAAGGATTATTTTCCATTTTGTTTCCCATTCTCCTTTGTACACAAACATCGTCAGTTCCTTCATGGCTGAGATCTTTCTTGTCTCTTGGCTGTTGCTCATTCTCTCCAGTAATGGAGGCCTGGGTTTGGTCCTCCGTGAATTCTTACTGAACTCCTGAACAGATGAACAAACAGACCAGGGGTCAGCGGTGGTCAAGGGGCCTTGAATGATTCCTAAGAAGTTTGGGGACCTGTCTTGTATCTGGGATGTCTTGTGCCCAGGAAGCTCTGTACAACTTTTGTTTTTCTCTCCAGACACACTGGACCATGGACCTAGGTCGCTGGGTGTTTCCCAGAGACATCAGAAGGTGGAACGAAAGGCTGCTGTCTCCATTTTAGCCCAATCACCTTGGAATAGGATTTCCTCCAGGACCAAGAGAGTGGTACTGTAGGGGTCTTTGGCACATAGTGACTGGGTCGGGCAGAGAAGTACTGGTTGTAGGGGCTGCTGCCTAACCATGAGAGATCAAGTGGGGCCAGAAGTTGGTCAGGAGGAGGGGAAGTCCCTAGGTGCCAAGCAGGCAAATTCTGGCAGGGAACAGAAGCCCTTGTCACTGCTCTTCCCTTGTCACAGGCTGCAAGGGCAGGAGCTACTGAAGGGCATGGCGAGGGTGGGTGGTGGAGGGCAGCTCACTTGTGGGGTTTCCAGGCTTTTCTAGTGGCCTCAAGCTGCCAGCCCTTGATTCCAGACCATCAGGTACCATGTGACTGGGGTACACCGTGGGGTGTGCCATTGGTCCTGGACCTCATGTGGGGAAGCCACTGAGGTGAGGCCAAGCCAGTGGCTTAGAGTGGCCCTTCCTCCCTGCAGGAGCACCAGGAGAAGGTGCCCAGGATGTCCAGAGAGGCAGGCCACGGTGATGCCCATTTCCAGGAGAACCGTTTCAGCTTCCAAGGCCATAATGACCTGTAAGAGTTGGAGCACCTTGGGCCGTGGTTGCTTGGGGCAGATGGGGCAGTAAGCAGTTTGGTTTGGAAGGAGCTGTGGGTCCTCGGAGTATTGGGGTCGCTTTCTCCTGGCCACTTGGGACCTCCAGGGAGTCTGTGGCAGGCGTGGCCAGGCTGGCTTCCTGCTCTGAAGCCCCAGACCCACTTTACCAAGGACAGGAAAGACTGAAGACTGACAGATTCACTGTCTTACCTGGTCTTACCTGCTTGCCCACGTGGCTTTCCTCTGCCAAGGGCCACCAGCAGCTCTGATCCTCTGTCTTCCCTTTTTATGCAGCAAGCTGGGGATAGATCTGCTGGCAGAGCTTGGCCTGGGTGAGTTCAGTGGACTGGAGATGGAAATCCTAAGAAGACAGGTGAGCACATGTGGCATCTGGGGTGGGGTCAGGCTCTCTTCTCTTTCTCCCAGGCTCCACAGCTCTGGCGCCCCACCTTGGTTCACTCTCAATTCTTCTCTGTCAGGCAGTCAAGTCCTAGACCAAAGAGAACCTTCTGTTCTCATCACTGATGTTCACTGCAGCAGCTGGGAGGGTCTGGAGTAACTTTGAGGAGGTCAGGCCTTGGTCCCTCTGGGCCAATGACAGGGACACCCAAGGCTCCATCCATGGGCCTGGGGTCCCCAGGCAGAGCCCTGCTCCCCAGCCCTGTCTCTGGTCCCTCCACAGTTGCTTGTGATCACCGAGCGTGTGCGTGCCCTCGAGGATCAGAATGTCATCTGGCGCTTCAAGGAGGCAGTATTCTTCACCTTGATGATATCGTCTTGCATTGTCAACATATGGCTGTGGATGCACCAGTGAAGAGGGAGAGGACAGCAGTACCCTACTCCTACAGTGACAAGTAACAGCCTTCTGTGGCCCCAGTGGCCCTTTCATCCCATCCCCTGCTTTGGTTTCGGCTTCCTTTCCCCATTTGCTTCCACGCTGTGCACAGGGCTCCTCAGGGCCTCAATAAAAGCTTATTGATAGCAACAAGACCTGCTGGTGCGGCTCATTGTGAGAGGTGCTGTGATCGGGCTGCGCCTATGCCTTTCCCCTCACTCTCCCTAGCCCTGGCACAGGGCTACAGGGCTCCCTCCTGGGTGTCTCACCAGTGATTGCTCCTGAGGACGCAGTTGTTTTTTTTTAAACAGTAGGAAAATTTTATTGAGGGAAAGAAAGTTTCCACCTAAGAGAACAGAAGGGGGATAGGAAAGTGGGTTGCCTGCCCACCCCACTTCTCCAAGATGTTTTATACAGGGCCAGGGATTTAGCTCAGCTGTTCGGTGGCCTGCCTTACAAGCACAAGGACCCAAGTTCAATCCCTGGTACCCCCCCCAAAAAAAAGAAAAAAAAAGATGAAGTGGGTACAAAGGGGGACAAAACTGTGAGGGGGCAAAGGGCTAAGACAGCTCCGGCTACTTCCAGCTGAAGAGGGTCATAGTTGTGATCAGCGGTTAGAGTTACTCTAACCTTTAGAGGGTCTATCTAAAGGCCTAAGAAACCAGTTACAATCTATGAAGCAAAAAGACCAAAGTTAGAACCTATGAAAAAAGAAATACTCTTACCTCCGACCAGTAATCACGGTGGAAGAGCTCCAGAATGATATAGGGGGAAGGAGATTAACTCCAAACCCTGCAAGATATCTGAAACGTGAGTTCGTGTTCTCTAAAATGGAAGAATGAATTCTAGGAACAACGGAGGTTAAGAGCAGGAAAAATTTATTGAGGGAAAGAAAGCTTCTGTCTGAGGGAGGCAGAAGGGGGATTGGAAAGTGGGTTGCCCCAAGGACGCAGTTCTGTAGGCTGTGGCAATGCAGACGTTGCCCAGACTCAGTGAGAGGAATCCAGAACCACCCCACTTGAGCAGGAGGAGGCTGAATTCTAGGAGGGAAGCATGTCCTTGTGGTGTCTAGTGAGACGGGGACTGGGTAGGGGCAGGGTGGTCTCTCCTGAATCCTAGCCTAGGGAGTGGTCTGCTCCTGCAGACTCTCCAGTTGTGAGGTTGTGACTCACTCTAGAGGCAGAGTAGCCCATCCCCTGACCACAGTCCCTTGAAGTGTACCTCAGACAGGGCCAAGCACGGGGTGGGAGTGCCAGGCTTCTGGAGCCCCTTGGAAAAGCTGCTGTCTGGGGTGGTGTATTAGTCACCTGCCCATCCCTGGGACACAATACCTTGTAGTCACAATTTCAAGAAAGCATTTTATTTGGGCTCAAAGTTCCTACTAGGTCAGTCCATGGCTGGCTGGCTCCAAGGTGGAAAGAGCATGGTGGAAAGGTGTGGCAGAGGACAGCTGCTCACCCCATGGCAGCCAGGAAGCAGAGCCACAAGGGAGGAGCTGGGAACAAGAATGCACACTACCGGGTCCCACCCTAGTGACCACTTCCACCCAGGTCCCAAGTCCTAACACCACACTCAGCTCTGAACTCATCCCTGGATGAGGCCCCTGATGAGCACGGCACCCCCATGACCCAATCACCTTCCACACACATGAGACCCGGGGGGGGCACATTTTAGATCTAAACCATCACAGACAGGAACCTGGAACTTTCTCCCTGGCTGTGTGGCTGGGTGTACCCTTCCCTGTCTCCAAAGCCTGTCCGGACCCCTCCATCTGTATCATGGGAGTGTGTCATTAGATGTAAAGTGAACAGAAACATCTGGGCATGGGGGCAGGAGTGGAAAACAGGAAAAGAGAGGGGAGGGAGAGGAGGGAAGGAGGGAAGGAGGGAGAGGGACACAAACAGAGGGAAAAGGAGAGACAAAGGAAGTGACAGAGAGGACACAGTGGGTAAGAAAGAAGAGGCCTGAGGCCAGAGTCTGTTCCCCAGTGTCGGCCCCTCTCTGGTCCTCAGTTGAGGACCTGTACCACTCCAGACACTCGTGCAGGATCCCCATCAGACGTGACCCAAGGGGCAATGCACCTGTGCCCAGTGCCTCGCCTTGCTGAAGCCTTGAAAGGAAGGCTCTGAGTGAACAGACACTTGGGTGCTCAGCGCCAGAGGAAGCCCCTTTGAGCATAGGGAGACTGCAACATTAGATTACAGGAGAGACAGCCAGGAGCAGCGTGGCCCCTGTAAGTGGGCCCTGAAGAAAGGCCCAGGAACCCCACGAGGCCTAGAAACAAGGCTGCGGCTCTTCCTGCAGCCCTGGGGCAGACCAGGGCCCCACAGATAGAGGGGCAATAAGGGTCAGAAGGTTGCCACCAGCAGGGCCAAGTCCGTCCTTTGGGGCCTGGGTGCAGGGTACACCTGCGCAGACATGGACGTGTTTGCAGGAAAAGTCTGGTTGGAAATACGTTGTGAAACAAAGGCCCCCCCCAGGGAGCAATTTAGCTGAGTCACAAACAAACAGACAGGCTCCCCTGGAGGAACATGGAGCTGGGGCTAGGGAGCCTGCCCTGCTGTGTGGTGTGTGGCTGGATTCTGGCTGCCAGGGCTGGGGGTCACTAAGCATCCCAAAAGAAGGCCTCAGGGACTCCTGAGGGGAAACTCTGCCCTCTGGACTTTAGGGCAAGCTTTCTGCAAAAACACCTTCTCCATCAAGGTAAGTCAATCTGACTACCGCTCAGGGTGGCACATATACTACATGCCATGCACGTTGAACTTCATACATACTGAATTATATGTGTCATGCGTGAATGCAGTCTCCTAAAAACAGGCAAACATTGGCTGACATGTCCCCGGGCCCCAGTGTCAAGCCCCTGCCCAAAGATAACTCCTTGCAGACCCCGTGCTGTCACAGGCAGATTCCATGTGCTCACTGGTGCCCCAGGCTCTGTGCAGACATGTCATTTAAGTCTTTGTGCGCAGCCCCTGAGGGAGGGGCAGAGAGTATGAGCCCAGGTCACTTGCTGTTCCACCTGTCGGGCTCCTGGTCTTCACCAGCCTTGGGCAAAAGTTGAAAGTGAGTATTCCAGTGCTTCTGTGTCCACATGGCTTTCTTCCCGCTGGAGAAGGTAGACAGTCCAGAGGGCCTGTGGGGAGTGGCAGGCTCTGGAGTACCTATTCCTGAAATCCTGGCCTCTGGAAAAGCAGTACAAGGTCTACTGCCCCGAGGCCCTCGACTGATCACCGCCCTCTGCCTGGCCCTCTTGGAGTTGTAGGGAATCTTGGAGGGGGAGAATGGATTCCTCCTCAGTCCAGCTCTGCCCCTGCTCCTCTTGGCTTCCAGGCAGGTGGGCTGGCTTGGCCTGCATCAGCACCTCAGGGCAGGTACCTGTGAGCCTGCCCTCTCCGGATACAAAGCCCTGAGCATACTCTAAGCAAGGGAGTGTCCCTGGGGGAGCTGGGCGGGGCCAGCTCCTGGGTCTAGGCTGCCAAGCAGCCTCCACAGCAGGCAGCCAGCATCTGGCTATTGCTTGCTTGCAGACAGCCTGAGTGTGCAGGGCCCCCTGGTAGGACAGCTTCTCCAAGGGGCATGTGGCACCCTGGGCCAGTCTTGAGTTCACCTAAGCTGTGGGCATGAGCCACTGTGGGCCTCTGCCTGCCTCCACTGTGGGCGTCAGGTCGGGTAGGAAAGCTCCCTGACTGTGAGGCTGCCATCTGCATTGCTGCAGGCTCTGGGACCCCACTGGCCCTGGGCTGGAGAAACAGGGGTCTCTTGTGACTTCAGGAGCTCATGATCCTTTGAGGCCGTGTGTCTGACTGGAGACCGTGTGGATGGACCATTCAATGCTTACTGAAGCCATCTAATTGGTGAGAGGAGGAGCTGGTGTAGGGCTGACACCTTTCTGTGTCCACAGGCTGGTGACCCCTGCGGGGGTTGGGGCTGGAGCCTATGGAAGTGTGCAGGCTGCAGGCTGGAGTTGGCCCTGGCCTTTGTGCGTACAGCCCGTCCGGGGGCTGAGGGAAATGGCTGTCCCCTGTCAAAGCAGTGAAATGAAATCTTGGAGGCTTTAGGAGTGCAGTGGCTGTGAGTGCCACATCAGGCTTGTCCCAAGGCACCCGAGCCTTTGTCACCTCTCAGGAAGGTGACAGAGTGGCTGGAGAAGGCTGGGAGCACAAGGGTTGAGAGGCTACCTAGCTAGGCCAGGTTCCTCCACTGCCTGTCCGCCCAGCCTCGGGACATGGGGTGAGCTGCTTGCAGCTCCATGGCTGCCTGCATGGGAGGACCTCCGGGGTAGGGAGCTAGTACGCTCTGAGTGCTTCTCCCAGAAACCCTGCTGGGATCACAGTCTTTGCTTTTGGTCCTTCATAGGGCTTCCTGGCCTCTCACAAAACCCTTGATGGGAGTAGGATTTGGGCAAACCCTTCTGCAGCTAAGCTCTGGGAGCTTCTGGCTGAGGGAAGATTCTGGAGATAGGCAGCAGCCGTGGCACAGCGGTGACTCTCAGGGCCTCTGTGGGCCCAGCACTCTGTTTTGGCTTCCAGTTTGAGTCTGCAGCAGCATGTGTAGGCCTGGTCCACACCCTTCCTCTGTAGACCTCTTGCCAGTGGCAGGATTTGGGGTTCCCCCTTCCCCACAATGGGACCCCCTACAGCTACACCTTAGCACCCCTTGGCAGTGCTTGCCTTCTGCAGAGAGAGGGGACTGAGAGTTTGGACAGGACACACACTGGTGCATCAAGCTGAGTCCCAACTGTACTGGCTTATAAAGAGCAGGAAAACCTTGAGTTCATTGTCAGGAGATGATAAATCTATGGTACAGACAAAGTGGGGAAAAGGGAACATGAAACAAGGCCTGGATTTGGGGAAGAGAAGAGAAGTTGAGAGAATCCATTCCTAAATCCATTCATCTATGCATTTATCCATTTGCTTGCCAAGTATAGGTCAAGTAACTATTACACTGCATTCACCCTGGCGGTGTAGATGGTAGCGACAAGGGAGAAGAGAGCTGGCAGTCTGAATGTAGAGGAACAATGACTCAAAGGCTGTGACAGGGCACAGGCAGGACCTGGGGCAATAGCAGTCAGTATGGATGGGGAAAAGTGCTGGAGAGAGATTTCAGCAGTAGAACCAATGAGATTTGGAGACTAGGTGGAAGGTATCAAGAATAA